TACAAATATTTTTCCGATGTGTTTTGGATATTCCTTCTCTAATAAAAAGAGATACCATTTTGTTTTCGGTTGTACAAGAAAGAAGATCAAGCATTTTTCTTTTTTAAATTTAATAAGCCACATTAAAGAAGGAACGTTGCAATGCTACACGCTACATTAACGACGTCTCCAGAGTAACTGAATGACGGTTCATATAGAAATCGCAGGTAAGCGTCTCATACAACAACGCCCCCTATAGTTCGTTGCGATCGCGAATATAGATTAGCCATATGATACTCACTACGTGCTCTTGCGCGCCGAATTCTATCAATTAAAAATGAAAACTGTTGCCAACGCGAGAAAAGAAATATCATCGGTTTTATTGATACATACGTATTAGCGTTTTATATGATATAGATAGAATTTTTATTGCAAAAAAAACAAACATTTTGTTTGATTTTGCTCACCAGCCTTCAAACTTGGTGATATGAATTTTAGTGGCTACGTTTTTATTGTCTTAAATGATGTCTACCTAAGAACAGAATTTAATTTGTAAGGCAAAAATTCATGAAAGATGGATGATTTCAAATTCTTTATTTTTTTCCTCCTCTAGATTATAATACAGAGCAAGACGGCAGTGGGCGTATCATTTAAAGTGAATGGTCAAATGTATGATGTATTTGCCAAAAAAGAAGTCATAGTATCTGCAGGATCTACAAAAACCCCACAATTGCTGATGCTTTCAGGAATCGGTCCCCAAAAGGATCTCCAAAGACTTGGAGTTAGTTACTTACTTTATAGATATATTTAATTTAATGTTCTGTAATTTTTTTCTTTTTGTTTTCTTCATGTTGAATTTTTCCCTCACTAGGCGTCGTGTTTCTCAAAAACCTTGATTTGGTTCGATGGGTCTGTAACGCCACATGTCCCATAATAGCTGTTATGTAGGAAATAAAAATGCGCAAATTAAGATAAAGTAATAGTAAACAATAACAGTGCAAAAAAGAACGGAACATCCTGAATGATTTTTGATTTAATGATCGGATTTACTCAATATTAATGGTTCAAGGGCTATGGTGAAGGCTATGCTCTAAAATACAAAATTATACAGAATAAAGCATTTTTTCTCAATAAACATAAGATTTTCTTGAAGATTTCAAATTTCTGACCTCCAAATATTATTGTAGCACAATCTGAGAAATATGGTCCTAATAATTTGGTCAAAAATTCGTTTTCTCAAATATAATTTCGGGTACAAACGCTTTTTAATAATTATTTTTTATTACTTTATTTATTAGTAACTGAGGATATTTGAAATTGTAAGACAAAAATTTCCACTGTATGTAAAATGAAATGTTTTAGAGTAATATGTAGAATGGAGCTAAAAATTTGAAAAGCGTCTGAGTTATCGTATTTTAATAAAGACGTATCTTAAAAAAGACGTATTTTAAAAAATTTGATTTCTCATATTCAAGCTAAATATTTTATTGGAGTACACTTTGATCGAGATGAAACAGTAAGTGATAACCATTGCTGAAACCTAGAACATAACACACAAATTGAAGCTATGTATTTACGTAATTTTGTAATTAGAAGTTATGTAATTGTTTGAAACTGTTTTAAAATTGCTCAGATTTGAAAGAGAGGGATAAAATGAAATTAGCAGAACTCAATATTATGTTTTTAAATGCACTTTGGTAAATATTACTTTTAAATTTTTAAGTAACATCGTTACAACTAATTTAACACTTTGTCAACCAACCTTATTCAACGCTTAAAAAATAATTCAAAAAAAGTAAAAATAAATAAAGAACAAAGAAAGAAAGTTGACCGAAAAAATTTTGTCTTATGAAATTAAAATGTGTCACCAATAATTGTTCCCTAATACCATATTATAGCTCCATTCTTTAAACCATTCGAAAGATAATGATTATCAATTAAACCAATATTGTGAATAAGTATGATAATGATTCGTCCAATTTTGATGGCACTTTCATAATTTTTTTTTTGATTTCGATACCTAAACCTAAATATTTATGATATTGACTCCTAATATTTGACATTTTCGCATAGTAGTTGTTTCGAGTTGAAATATTTAAGTGATATTCAGAGCTGCAAATCTAGATAATAACCTGCAAATTGAAGTTGTTTATTTATGTAATTTTGCAAATGGAAATTATATAGTTGTCTGACACTGCTTTATAATTATTCAGATTTTTTTTATAAAAGGGATCTGTATAAAACTTTCCAAGATTGCATTTCCAAGATTTTTATAAAGTTAAATTTCAGCACTTATATATATTTTAATAAACATTTCAGAATATTTTTTAAACTACGCTGACACTAATGAAGAAAATATAAAAATTAGCGCAATTTCAATTTGTAGTCTATGAATGGAATGAGGTATTGATGCAGCTACTGATATACTACAGAGCTATCGATTTAGGTTTACACTGAAAAAAAAATGTAGAGTATCTTAACACAAAAAGTGGTTTCTTATTTTATACCAAATGTGATATCCTATCCCTATCTTAAAAGTTGTGTGTACTATGTTTAGTGTAATGTCCCCATTTTTATTGTTAAGTGACTCTAAAATTCATGTTAACAACAAGATATGTTACACATTGAAATTAAAATACTTCACATTATATTTCAAAGTAAGAAGAGGATTTATAGATAGTGAGCAAATTAAAAAAACTGATCGCCCTAAATAATTTTTGGTCTAATGATCTAATGATCTTCATGTTCTAGGACTCATTCTTACTGGTTTAAGGGGGTGACTTCAAATATGCTAATTAATCAGAGTAGACGATGTTTTAAGTAACGAAATCAAACACAAAAACTTACTTTCTCTGAACAAACATACCTTTTTTTCGGCGGATTCAGATTTATGAACCTCAAACTATAACAACCTGGGAAATATTGTCCCCGTAGTTTGTTCAGGAGAGCGATCCAAAGTTTGTACCCTTTTATGTTAATTTTAATTTTTGCGCATTTCGTCATATCTCGAGAACTTTTTAAGGGAATAAAAAAATGTTTGCACACACTAATAAAATTTGATATTAATTCATTATATATTTAATATTTTAAATTAATATAATTGATAGATTTTCGTAAATTATCTTACAATAATATAATTATAATTATTAAATGACTAATATAAATGCCTTTAATAACAGACGGCAACAAGCACAAGATGACAATAAATATACATTTTCTAGCACAGATAGTAGACAATTTACTGTTGCCATCGGTTGGTTTCTAAATGCAAGCTGAAATTGATGTTTTCGTAGGCGAAAAAAGCGTATGAGATTGGTATAAACCTTTTTTGATTGATGTTTAGATTTAATACACCATTTATATGGATATTAAAAATCATAAGTATATGGATGGTCTATTAGGTGTTACCTTGAAATTGAATATCCTTTCTCACAATTTTCGGAGTTTTTAACACTGAATTCGGAGGATAACTACATCACAGTTTTCACAATGTACTTGCGCCTCTTGACTTTTCACAATGTACTTGCCGAAGCTGGCGGCCGAAATAGTCCAGACTTTTGATGTTATCTGAAAATCGATGGACACGAAAACAATAACAACAATGTACTTGCAAAGGATTCAATACTTTGGAAGAACTAATGTGCTTATATTGTATACCATTTTGATAAAAATTCTAAAAACATAATTTAAGGATAGTGATTACTAAATCTCTTTAGTAAATATACTAATGAAGAGTAATAATGATAAAAATAATAAATTAAATTTATTTTTAGATTCCTGTCATTGCTAATTTACCAGTCGGTCTCAATCTTCAAGAGCATTGCTCAACATACAATAGTTTTGAAGTGTATTCAAACAATATGTATCCAAGACCGGAGGAAGCTATCGAAACTTTCATTGGAAACAGAAGTGGTGAGGTGTAAAAATTCTATAAAACTCTAATAAGTATATATATTGTCATTGAAACCTTTGACCTGCCCATGGAGTCTAGAGCTTTAAGATCCATGGACCCGCCCTATAAACGGGTTGTGGTTGTGTGAATGGCAGAAGTCAAATTCCTGGCCATAGATGGCGCCTCTGAAAAACAGGAACAATCGCACCCCCACTGCCTAAACTTGGCAGTTGAACAGAAATGAATAGTAAAAAGGGAACATTTCAGATAAGCCCCTGCAAATTTATCGATATTCTTAGTTCTAATTAAGTTTATTATTTCGCGCAAGCAACATAATAGTCTATATTTTACTTTTAATGATGCTTAATAATTAACGCATACCAAGATGTTTTTTTATCAACGGAGATCGGCCATAAATACGTTGATCATTATATAAATCAAAATTTTTTGTTTTGACCCTGGTATATTAATACAAATTTTAATAATAGCAATTATTAAAAATAATTACAATTATTAACTATAAAAATTTTTAATAATAATTTTCAAATTTTTTTTTAATGCATTAATTATTAATGATGCTTAATTAGCACAGATAAAGATGTTTTTCATCTACGGAGATCGGCCATGAATACGTTGATCATTGTATGAATCTAAATTTTTTGTTTTGACCCTGGTATATTAATACAAATTTTAATAATAGCAATTATTGAAAATAATTACAATTATTAATTATAAAAATTTTCAATAATGATTTTCAACAATTTTTATAATGCATTAGTTATTAATGATGCATAACTAGCACAGGTAAAGATGTTTTTTATCTACGGGGATCAAATACCTTGATCAATGTATAAATCTAAATTTTTTGTTTTGACCCTGGTATGCTAATACAATTTTTAACAACTTTATTGAGAGGCTTTTATCTTTCTTACCTAAATTTTTTACAAAATTTCTAAATATTTTACCAATTAATAACAATTTCCAAACATGAAAGTTTTAATTGTGTGTATAGGGAAATTCTACGAATTGTATTTTTTAAATCTAGTTCGATTTAAATTTCATTTTTATAACCATCAATTTTGCAATAAATGTAAGGATTTTTATTTTATTTCACATTTTCTTAAGCATCCAAACTCAATAATTTTTCTTAAAAATCATATCGATTTATAAAAATCATCGATTTATAACTCTCTGTTATTGTTAAAAATCTATCTGGGGTAAAAAGACGCTTTAGGGTAACTCCAGAGGTTGATTTCAGCGACGCTGATTTAAGTTTAATTATTAACTTTCAAGCAATCGGTTGTCTTTTTAAGTAAAGTTATGAATTGCATATTTTTTGTTTTAGTACATGTATATTTCGGAGAAAAGTTTATAAGTTTAAAATAATTAAATATAGTTTACATTGCAAAAAATTTTTACAACAATAAAATATTTTTTATTTGGCAGATGCTTTTAATTAAAAAGTTGCAGAATAAAGAAAAAAAAAACTAATCACCAAGGACGGTTACTTTTTTAAATAAGTAAATGTTAAAAATAATTAGGAATTCTTTTGCATACATTTGTTAAATATTTAATTTAGTTCTTAAAATCAATCTAATAACCCGAGAAAGGCTTTAACTGAATTATTACTTAATATTTATTTCAGGTTATTTGGCGTCACCAGAGGGTGTGATAGCGTTGGCGTTTTTAAAGGATTCATATATCAGACCGAAAATAGATTTTCCAAACTATCAGCTCTACTTTTTTCTGGGTGGTGCACTAGATGTAGAAAGAACTTTTAATATCCAAAAATATGTGAGTAGTTTTTCTGTTTATATATCTAAAGAAAACTTCTCTCTTACGAAGAAACGAGTCTTAGCTAAAATTTTCTCCAGAGCTTTTTCCTTATCTATTAACATAGATCTATTTACACTGTTAGAAATTTCTCGGAAAAATGGTTAAACGACAATTTATTTAAATGTTATTTACAATATTCGAACAAAATCGTCAAATAATCATGAATAAAATGGTATTCAAACTGTAAACGATGAGAAACACTGTTCCTTAACTGCTTTCGCCATATACGGTTAAATGACCAGAATTGTATCGCACTAACTAGATCCACCGAATGATACCATTTAGTTCATTGAAGACAGGTGCATATTGAAGACGAGAGGGCCAATCTGTCAATCTCATGGCCGACAGAACTAGGGTTTGAGTTTCAGCGTAGACATTACAATATTTTCTCCATTATCTAGAAAACATGAAAAATTTCCAGTGTCCTGCCCTTCGAAAATTGCGACTCTTGGCTGTTAGAATACGGTGCTCTCATTTATACATATTTGGCAGCACCTTGGCAAACAAACTATAAATCAGCTATCATTGATAGCCAAGAGCAGCACCATAAAGCTACTGAACTATCTCTAATGTCCAGTTAAATTTCTTTTTTACAGTTTTGAAACAATACTAGTTGTAAATGGTTACAAAACCGTATAGTTTTGTATTCACGGTTTTTTAACTATATTGGTTGCAAAGGCTTTCAAAATCCTTAAAGTAGAAATTGTTTTTTACTGTAAACTTTACGTTTAATTGGATGGACAGACTGTTGCCAGTTACACTACCATAATTTTAGAATGAAGATTAAATTCTAACAGCGTAGCATTGAAAAAAAAGTAAGCAGTTACTTTTATTATGGAATAGAAATAGTCTTATTCGCTCTTTATGAAATTGAATGAAAAGTAATTAGTTAACTCTTTCATTTAATGTGGGATTAGAATTAATTAAATATGAATACAAATTTATGAAATAAAATAAATTTAAAAGTTAGGAAACATGCAATGCCTATAATGGTATGACAAAACTATAGAAAAAATAAAACATATTTTAAGTTTGTTAAAAAATTCTTAAAAATTTTTATAGTAATTTTTAACAAAAAATTTCATATTTATCTCAATTCAAAATGTTTTCTCCATTTTACACAAAGTTAATAATTTAAATAAATGTTACTTAAATAGCATTCACGTGTAACTCGAATTTTTTTAAAGCATATTAAAAACATTTCGATAAACATATATAAACAATTACATAAATTTCATCGCCTGAAAAAGAAGCATTTAATTCTCATTTCGTAAAATTTTTGAAAATTGTTTCAGCTAGTATTTGAATATTTTGCTCGCCTGTAAGTTTTAATAAGTGTAGCTGGTTTCAAATATATACTTCGTTTTAGACATCACTAAACGAAGTTAACCAAAAAGGAAGGTTTTTTAAGACTCTAATTTTTATTGCCATAATACCAACGGTATTTAATTTTTACCCTGGTCAAATGGCGCTGACCTAAGCTGGTTTTTACTATCATATATTTTCTCACCATTCTCATGAGAGAACTTTCAACGAAAACAAATTTGACTTGCAGCTTATTGCGATCTAATGCTGGTTGATCAGTTAGTCATCGAGATCGAACTCAGAACCTTCAGGTCGGTAACGACAACGTTCTAACTGACTGAACTACTTAAACACCTGCTTTATTTTACATCATGAAGTACGTTGCTGAGGTGTGACCTACAATTTATGTTTCTTTTTTCTTTGGACAACATTAATGTTTTAAAAGCTCATAGATAAATGTTAAATTAATGAATAAACTGAATACGTGCATACAAATTTCTTCAAAAATTTCTTGGCAGGCATATGACCAAATATTTGCTCCGTATGAAAACAAGACATTTCTTACTTGCTTCTCTTCGGTTCTTCAGCCAAAAAGTAGAGGATATGTGAAGTTATTGTCTTCCAATCCTGAAGATCCTCCTCTTATTAATCCTAATTACTTCGCACATCCACAGGACTTGAAAGATATGGTTGAAGGTAATGAAATTATAATTAGTGATGTTAATAAAAAGGTGTAATAAATTTCAAAACTATTTGTTTCAATGCTTTTTTCATTTTTCTATTGTGAATATGAGTTATTCAAAATTACTGTTCATCTTTCATTCAATTGATTAATTTGACTTCTGTTGGCAATTTCATTTATCGCGAAGATAGAGCGAAAATTGAATAAATCCAAGAATTCCCACAAAAAAGCTTAAACACGTGGCACATTTTTATACGTTATTTGAAGTGATGAAAACTTGCAGGGTCTCGTACGTCAAGTTTTGAAGGGAGGGAAGAAAAGAGGGGGAAATAAAGGTAGAGACTTTCTGCTTATTAACGCATACCGGCTATTTTTTCATAAGTAGTTTTTACGCCAAATTAAACAAGACTGATTTCGATAAGATTGAAAATTAATTTAGATGTTATAACGATTATACAAAATATCAAAAAGCAAAATTTTATACTCACCTGGCATAACTCTCAAGCATTATTCCTATTCATCTTTTATTTAAATCAATTAGCACGAGCCAATGATTCAAAAGTTGTAAGAGTTTTTATGGATAAAAAAAAGTGCTATTATTGTCATTTACTTCCATAAAATTTTCGCATTTCTATCAAAGATGAATGTATTGTTTTTATGTAACATTTTACATTGTTTGAAATGAAACCAAACACGGACTAATAGTTTAGAAGCTATGCAACTTGTATCTAAGTAAGTTTCTGAAATTGCTAAAGAAAGAAAAAGTGAGTCAATAAGACAAATATTTCTTGGTTTTATTGTATAAAGAGTGTAATTTTTGAACTGTACTACGTTATATGAAAAAAAAACTCTTCTAATTTCGAATATATTTATCTATTCCCTCGAGAGATTTGGTCTTATTTAATTCAACATAAAAAGTCTCATCAGAAAATATATTGTTCATAAATATGCGTGATATATACAGATAGAGCATAATAAATATGCATATATATATATATATCCAGATGGCTTTTAGATAGCAATTTAAGAACTGTACATAACTGAATGTCAAAAGTAGTACTATTTTTACATAAAAATCCTTACAACTTTTAAACTGTCATCCTGTATGTTTATTGTGTACAGGATGTGCATTCGATTCAGCGTAAACAAATACGTAGAAAACAATACCTCAACTGATTAGATAGATTGCAATATGAGTTGCATAAATCGGTACTCGTACAAAAATAATGCATAACGCCTTCACAATTTAAAAATTTCTTGTCTGGTTTTCAAATTGGAACGGGAAAAATGGGAAACAATTAATTTATCATAGTTTACCGGAAGTTTTTCTGAAAAAATATTAAAAAGAACAAGAAATAAAAATATTTTAATTATCACTTAACGAATGGAAATCATTTTACGTTAGATAATATTAATGCAAGTTAAAATTATATAGTAATGAATTTACAGGTAATTATTAAGCTCAATAACCTCTTTTACTTCGAATAGGAATGAAGACTTGTCACAGAATTGCGATGACAAAGCCGTTGCAAAATGTTGGTGCAAGACCATTTCAAACTGTGTATCCTGGCTGCGAGAAATATTTAGGCAATACAGATAGCTATTTTGCATGCCAAGCAGGATCTATTGTCACCACTATGAGTCATACAGTTGGTACAGCGAAAATGGGTGCAATAGATGATCCATCTACCGTGGTTGATCCAGAATTAAAGTAAACGTTTATTTTTATACTTATTTAATCTTGTTTATTCTCTGTAAAATATCCATGATTTTGAGCTATAGAATATCATGACTTGCGTCGACATGGTTTTGAAGGATTATTTCTGATGGATATATTATACCAATATGATTGATGATTTCAAAAATCAATAAAAGAAAAAGGGAAGCAGGTAGGAAATATACGGTTTGCTACATTCTGCTTAAAGGAACCAGATAATTCCTTATCTGGACTTTAAATAAGTTGAAAAGTTTGTCAATAGATGGCGATGCTGAGTAGGAAAAACTACGAAACCTTTTTCTTTCATTACATGTGAAAACATTCAACTGAAACCTTTATACGGACGGCTGTTAATTTTGACCTCTCATACGCTTTAGGAAATAGATACTCAAATTTCAGGAAACTTTTTTCGTTTTTGACGAAACCGTCTCCTGGTATATACTCTTAGCGAAAATTTCGTCAGAGTGACAAAATAATTATCATCTATTCTTCGAGAAACAAATTTCGTCAAAATTAATTAAATATTTTGGTACTCTATTTTGTTACCCCTCCTCCACCAAAGAAAAAAAACACAGTGTCTAATTTTTCTAATAATCACTTCATCGTGGGTATAATATAGGTGGATTAATTTCACTAAATAGCACGACGAGCACAGATAAAGTAAATACATACTCGAAGCAGGATTCGAATCCGGTATTGTCCTCTTACAAGGCTAACATCTTGACCACCACAGAGACCGCTTGATTTGTTTTGTCATTTGTTTTGTTTTTTGAGTTTGGTTCATAATTAAAATGTTACTGTGGTAGCCACTAAAACAAATCCTGCAAGGATTGGATATTCAACGTTGGTAATACTATATACAGGGTGTTTATATAAGTTTCTTTTCAGAAATGAAATTAAAAAGAAGAAACATATGCTTGTTAAGAGTCACATATTAAAATTTAATTGTGATGAGAAAGTAAAAAAGAAAAATCGAGAAACGGCAAATTAAATTTTAGGAAGACGAGATTAAAATTGTTCAAATCAGTTTTGCTATCGACTGAAACCTAAATCTGTTTAAAATTATTTTCACCTTTTTTCAACTCTTAATGTTTGTTAATGTTTATGATACAAACTTCTTCAGTGATGATAATAGTGATGATGATCTCCAGTGATGATGACAATGATTTGCATAGTTTTAATATTGCATTTGTTTTTATTTAAAAGTCTAATTTTTTATTCCTAGTTTTTTTTTAACTTTATTTTTACAAGGTTTCAATTAAAAGTTTAATTAAGTGATTATGGATCACCCAACTGATAAGAAAACATATTTGTTGCTCACCTTATTTGTGATACCAGTAAAGCTCAGTGGATATAGTGGTCACTTTTTATGAGTGGTCATTTCATTCTTCAAATCCTATCTGCAATTATAGAATTCGTATATTCCTTTCACATTAGGGTTCCTCTATTTAATTTTAGTTCTAGAGTCATGACACTTGGGTGCTTTCAAGTGACTTCACGAGTAGATCAGTTAATCAGGCTTGACGTATATGCTTGACATAGCTTCCTGGCATCCAATTAAATCTGATCCAACAGTTGACACATCGTGATACTAAACCCAAGTCTTAACGTAAGCATGCCATGCACAACCACGTGATTCGACACAACAATGTGATTAGTTGCTAGAACCCGATTGCACCAAAATTGTCTTAAATTACGGGTTGCAAAAGAAAATGGTAGTTGAATGAATTATATCACATTTAACGAAGTTTTTCTTTCGAATCTTATTATTCCCTCCGTATTAAAATCTTTTCGCTTGCAGCTTGATTTTTGCTATTGTTTTAATACCCATTTTTTAGTTGGATGTAATGTTTAAAATAAATATATATTAATGACAGAGATATCCAAGTCAGAGGATGAAATAGATCAGTGTTCATCTATCATACAATCAATATTTCTGTTTGCACTATTCCTAGTGAATGGTTCGCATTCCTATCCTTGTAAACTGACTGTAACTGATTGATCATTGGTGGATTTCAAGTGGCCAGGTAAGTGAAGTGACGTTAGGTTAGACATCTATATGAAACTAAGTCAATTTCTTGAAATTGAGGGAGAGTATATTTTATTTTGAACACTAAATTACTGACAAATTAAAAACTATAGGTATTTGTTATTATTTTTACGAACATATTTACTATCAGTTAAATAAATATTTTTAATCTTTATTATAAGGACTCTTTCTATTAAACTAAAATGAATTCGCTTACGCGTCGATGGGATCTTGCAGTTACTGTCCGTCTACCTTGAGCTCTTAAAACTGTATTAAAGCTTCTTGCCTTATGTCAATGCAAGTTTCAATTATTTCGCGACCGTTGCACTTAAAACTACACTACATCTACTTGCTCTATGGCAATTCAAGTCTAAATCATTCTGCTACCGCTGCCAGCAGCATTTTTCGCGATGAACATATTAAAGAAAATTTATTGTCAATCGAAATTCCGATCGCTTTTCCTCCAGCTACAAAATAGCTAATTTCTGTTTTCGTCCAGCTAATTTCAACTGAAGGTTTGCGTCTGCAGAACACACGTTTCAATCTTTTCCTGATGCCCGCAATCAGAATTTATTCTTGTATTTTCGAGAAAGTTAATTGAGTTAAACAATGCAGAAAAAGAGATATTTCTAGCAATTAATAAAGACATTTTATGAAGCTATTAGTAAATGTATTTCCTTAATATTCAAAATTTAATACATACAGGAAAATTAAGTTTTATGTCCTATTGTTGCCTTAAATGTCGCAGCAATAAAATTTTTAAAGTAAAATTTTGTCATTCATTTGTCAATCAATCATTTTGTTATTGCTCTAAAAAAAATAAAAAAAATAATGCTTTTAAAAAATATAATGTTTTTAATGCTACATTTCTCATAAGGAATTGATAAGATATTTCATACTTCTTTTTTTTACTTATAGCATTGTAACATTGATTCACTTATGGTTTTAATTATGGTTTTATTGTATCGATAACAACTGTTTATTTCCGTTTCAGAGTTAAAGGTATAAAACATCTACGTGTTGTGGATGCATCAATAATGCCAATCGTTCCATCAGGAAATACAAACATTCCAACTATCATGGTTGCAGAAAAAGCTTCTGACATCATCAAAAGCACACTAAGATGTTAGTCAACTAAGACTCGTCGCCTTATTAAAGCACCACGGCTCTAACCAAAAGACCTTTTAAATGAAATGTCTACAAATTGTACTTGAATTGTATGTAAGAGCAAAATAAAATATAGACGCATCTAAATAATTCAGCAACTTATCCTTGTAATGTTTTAATTTTTTAGTTTAATTACTAACTAGCCGTTTGACGACGATTTGTCCTCACGAACTCATTACTTCGAGTTATTGCATGATTCCGCAGTTTAACGCAGCATTGTTGAAACTGTTGTCTCTGTTGATTATATTGTTGCCTCTACACATTACATTGTTTATTGATTATATCAATTCCGCAGTTTAACGCAGCATTGTTGAAACTGTTGTCTCTATTGATTATATTGTTGTATCTACACATTGCATTGTTGTCTTTATTGATTATATCAAAATTTGTTTAGTAAAATTTGGAGATTTTGCTACCAGCTAATGACTAGAAGTATTGTTTTTAACAGTGGACACATCAAATAAAGTAGTCTTAACTGAAGAAAAAAGACTGAAGCACTTTAGCCTTAACTGTAGAATAGAAACTGAAACACTTTTAAAGTGTCAAAAAAAAAACAACTTTTAATATTAATTTTGTAGGGTATTTCTTTTAAGGCGTTTCTCAAGTACAGTAAACATTACAAGGTTCATTTATAAATTGGAGGAAAGTTTCAAGAAACAAGCTTGAAATAAAATAATTTTCTGAATATTATAAAAATTAATTATAATTCCATATTTCTTAAAAAAATCATTAATAAATTCCCATGGGTGTATTTTTAACAAGAGTAGTGGCCACCACATAGCGACTGGCAGACAATGTTTTAATTGCCGTTTGTCATTTTTAGTCGCCCCAAGGCAGGTGGAGACCGTTTATTTTTCCCTACGTTAAGATGCTTTGTTAAGTTTGTTTTAAAAATTTTTATGTGCTTCAGAAACTAGTTGGTAAACACCTTCGATCTCCATCTGGGAAGATTCATATTTTCCGGCTGTCTGGCAGCATTGTTTCTGAATACTTATGGTTCTACTTCATAGACACGTCGTTTTTCGGTTATCATTGATACCTGAAATATTCAGGTACTTTGGCTTCAAGGATGACTGGCTTTACGAAAGAACCGTTTCTAAAATTCAAACAATTCGGCTATCATTTCCATTAAGAGTTAAAAACATTTTGAAAAATTCGATGTTTATTTTTTAATTTCATACACATATCGATGCACTTATCGAATATGCAAATCCAGTAATAGACAGTTATCTCTTAATCTGAGAAAGGAATAAATTTTAACAACGTATTCAGTATAATTTTTTTTCATAATTTGCAATTTAATGCTCCAAAATAAATTTAACATATGATTTCAGAACCTTTCTTCCAGCATGATTGGGAAGTCTCACTTCGGGTATTTTCTTTGTCAAAATAAATAATCTTTGTCAAATAAGTCAATCTAATGTTCTGTTTGTCACTGTAAACTATCTTTACATTTACTTAATAACTGAGAGCTCACATTTCTAATAATGAAAAAAAAAATGCTTATTTTTTCAACAATTAATAAGTTTACCATTTTAATTTGTTTTTAAACTATTTTATTCCTTTCAAACAAAAAATAAGCTATAAACTAAAACATTAAAAAAATATGTATTTCGTAGTGAGTACTGCTTTCGAAACTAATGAGATGAATTAAGTAAAAAAAAACTTATATTAGAATATGTGCTTGAGCTAGCCTAGAAGTTCTTTCTATCTATTATGAAAATGATTAATTAGTGATTTCTATAGGTAGATAAAAAAATAGTTTTTTTTTTTCAAACTCAAGTTTTATTACACTTAATTAATTTTCAGTTTTTTTTGTTGTTGCTCTCTTTACTTATAATTTCCATTGCCTTCTCATTTTCCATTTTCAAATACTTTTTAACATTTTTTATGATTAGATGCGCTAATAAGCTTCATTAGGTTCGAAAAATAGCTGATATTGTTTTTATGCATTAATATCTTCTTGTAACATTTCTTTAAATTGTATCTAATTGTATCTAATTTTGTGATAAAAGGGAAAGCTTTTCATGGCCTCGATAAATAAAAGAGCAGTTTTACGCTGAATATGCGTCCTTAATTTTGAAATGCATATTATGTAGGTCATAAGAGTATAATTTAAATATTAAGTGTTTTATTTTCACTTTTCTTTTATTGTTCTATTATTAACCTAGAAGTATGATATCTTAAAAATTCAATTCACTTGTTCATTTTCAAAGAAAAACTTTTATTTTGTGCAAAAATTAGCCTTGTTTTATGGTTATCAGAAATAAGTTATAGTTTTGTTTTTTCGTTTGTTCCGTGATATTTAATCTATGGTATAATATTTCAAAAAAAAATATTTAATTCTCATTTGATTCAGTATTAAAAAATACCTGTAAATAATGCCTAACTTGTCTAAGCAGCAATATCAGAGGCGTACAAATAACAAGTACAAATTTGTACTAAACCACAAATTTGTACTTTTTTGTGCATAAACCGCATATAACTTCTATTAGTTCGATCGCCTCGAGATTAGTTTCTTTCAGTTCAGCGTGAAAAAAAAAACACACATGAAACACATATTAAAATATGCCACATTTTATTTTCCCCTTCATTTTCCTTCAAATAGGAGGAAAATTACCCAGGAGAAAAGGTATATCATGAGTATTAGTTTTTCCGTTGAAAATGCCTAATTTCACTGGACTAAAAGATGGGAACAATAAAATTTGCAGCATCTCAGGCTGAATTCGATTAATATTTATGCTATATGCTCTAAATATTCATAACTTATGCATACACGATTTTTTTTAAATTTAAATAAAATTAACACAACAATAACTTCTTTTCATTGAATTTTAGAGCATCAAATTATTTTAAACAATAAATTTCTTGGAAAAACTATTACGTTGTATAAGTTATATGATTTCGACAATCCTATATTCCGAGCATGAGCAATTGGCGTTAAATATTTAAGAAAAACATAAGTATTGGAATACTAAAATATTTTAAGCATAAATAAATAAGTTTAAAATGCTTACTTTAATTGATTCTAATTATGAGAAAATAACGTGTATTAAAAAGCTGCTTTTTTGGATTTATATCAAAACGCTAAATCGTTTTTCTAAAAATTTTTCACATGTAGTTAAAATAGTACCCATATAGCATGTGTACGCACGTAATGCATCTGTTTTTCACTGCGTAAAATTATGACAGAATTAAAAAGAAAAAAAAAGAAGAAAAAAAAATTCTTAAGACATTTTAGAGATAATCGGCAATAATTTATGATTGTTCCAATCATTATATAGAATTATGAATTTACTTGAATGAGCCTAAATTCGAAATACACGAAAAATAATTGTCTGAGCTATTTCGTGTCATAGTTTCCGAAATGTGCTCTGAGATTCTGAGTGTTGTTTTTGTTAAGTAATAAGCATTTAGCAATATTAATAAACAACATGATTTTCGTGAAAATTGTATGAATGTTAACACTTTTAATTGAAAAATTTATGACTAATAAAATAGTCCCAAACTGGTTCGTAGTATCAAATATAGATGGCAGAACGAGTCTATCTTCTTGTAGAAAACAAAAGAGAAGAGAACAGAAGTTTAAAAAGATAGAGTATAGATGGCAGCATAACCTGTTATAATATTATTCTTTCTTGAAGGTGAAATAAAATCATTTTTAGTAATAATAAGTGTAATTATTGCTATATTTAGCTAGCATCATAAAATAACACAAATCACTTCACTTTATTATGAAAATGCATTTTAATAACTTTGATCAAATTTTTAAGATTTTTAAGTGTTATTTTGTTTTGTTTAATTTTATGATTGATCTGTTAATAGCATATTTTTTTATTGAAACAATAATTAAACAAATATTTAAACAAAGAAATATAAGAAGATATTAAACGCTTTCTTCCATGGCAGCAATGATCTGAATACTTCTTTATTTGATTTGATCAAAACATTATTTTTGTTCGTTTTATTATTTTCTACTTAATTTTGAAAATTAGTAAATTTTATAAACGATTTGACAAAAAATATTTCGAAATGAAGTTACTCTTAGAGAAATTTAAGTTATCAGAGTTTGTGTTGAAATAGCATTTTTTTTTGGAGAGGTAATTAAAATAAAATGTTATTACGAAACTTTAAATAAGTTGAAATGTACAATATATTGTATGTTCCTGTGAATGACCGAAAATGGTGGTTGTTGACTTCCACCGGTGAATGTTGAGAATCAGATAGTCGCTTTAGAAAGTGATACATTATTCACGGTATACATTTGCCCGGTATGCCCTACATCAATGTTTTTTTAAGGTCAAATGAAACTGCCCAGTTTACATTTAACCTGTACTCCGAACACTGATGTTTCTTCTAATATATCCTCAGCACATATTAAAATATTGAATAAAAAATATTATCAATGATAAATTAATATCAAATGGGATAAAGTAAA